AAAACTTTACAATAACAAGTTTCTTCAAAATAAATGTTTAACATAAATTTTCTAATACAAATTATTCATTCAAAAAACACAAATCTAGAGCATACAAGCAAACCGCAAATGATCAATACAAATTGTTCAATAAAGATAAACATCTATAAATAATAAGATTAATTGAAAGCTTCTTCATCGTCAACTAAGTTTCTTCACTCTCCACTTCATAATATCAACTTCATTCTAAACGAACAAATTATACATGTCTCCACAAACATAAAGAATATTAGTTGTTTAAGGAAGATATATTATTTAGAATATTAAATATACCGGGAAAGTAATTATATGTGTGCGGGCGGGTACCCATGGGTCAGGTTTACCTAAACCCAAACCCAACCCAACCCGGTGAATAGTGTAGCGGGTTTAAACCCGAACCCGGCCCAAAACCCGTCAACACGGGTTTTACCCGTGTTGACCGGCTTGGGTCGGATGGGTACCCGTGGGTTCGCGTTTTATTGCCATCCCTAATGGTGAGACACTTGAGTAGGAGAGATGTAAATCTTTCCCATGCTTCAAACAATGGTTCATCAACCTCTTGTCGGAACATAGCTAGATGAATAGATAGGGTTTTGATCAACTCTACCCGTTGTCTGTTTTTTCCAAGTACACTGTTAAGATGTTGATGCCTACTCTAACTAATCATTGTGGTATACTGGTCCATTCTGATGCACAACTTGCCACTCTCCCTAAACCTTTCAAACATTTCAGCTGTTGGGAGATTCATCCTATGTATAAAAAGCTAGGAAAGGAGGCATATAACAAACATTAAAGGGAACTAATTTGCCTATTTATCCAAGAAAACCAAGGCCCTTCAAAGCTACTATCTAATAACTCCATTTCCTGAATCCATTTTTCCGATTTATCCAAGAAAACTAAGGTTCATCCACCTCTTGTAGAAATTCTCCTCATGTTTGAGCAAAGAGTGTAGAGTAGTCTGACTTTGTTGCGTTGTTTGAAAAGAGAGGGTATGGATGAAGTAGAGATTCCAGTTGCAAAGCCTCCACCTTTTCCCCTTCCTTTACACGTTCTAAAATCTCAACATAGAACTCAACTTCTTATTTAGGGATTTGAGTCTCTTTTTTATCTCCCTCAATTTTTACATATAACAAACACATTAGTTCCCTTTAATGTTTGTTATATGCCTCCTTTCCTAGCTTTTTATACATAGGATGAATCTCCCAACAGCTGAAATGTTTGAAAGGTTTAGGGAGAGTGGCAAGTTGTGCATCAGAGTGGACCAGTATACCACAATGATTAGTTAGAGTAGGCATCAACATCTTAACAGTGTACTTGGAAAAAACAGACAACGGGTAGAGTTGATCAAAACCCTATCTATTCATCTGGCTATAGGGTTACCATTTTGCCTATTTATCCAAGAAAACCAAGGCCCTTCAAAGCTACTATCTAATAACTCCATTTCCTGAATCCATTTTTCCGATTTATCCAAGAAAACTAAGGCATATTTGAAGCTTATGAACTACATCTAATTACATTAAAATCTCCAAGGACTATCCAAGGGAGAGAGTCTCCTTTCAAGATGGATGATGGTACATCCTTCGATGCTCGCTAACATCATTAGAACTATCAACAAAGTAACTTGAGTGCTATCATCATCTCGCACTATACTAGAAACTCCTTCACCCAAAACTAGAAACTCCACTATACTATCTAGAGCTGGACACTAGAGATTAAGATGTCTCCCACAACAAAGTTTTCAAGTTTTTATTTTTGTTTACTAATGCTAAATGAGGTAGATTGTTAAGCAAAATGTTTCCTCATTATTATGATATTATTAACGGTTTTAATTCAAATTATTAATTTTTAAATGACATGTTATCAACTTTTTAGGTTGGATTTAGTGTAAATAATGTTTTTATTTTTCACTATTAATGTTTAATGTGTTAGTTTTTTTGTTTTGTTTAGTAAAGATGAATGAACTGGTGCGTGCATATTAGTAGTTCTTATTATTGATCTTGTTAGTAATTCTATTATTAAGTTTATTTCACGTGTATTGTAGTGGTTTTTCCCGTTATGTGTTGGGCACATATTGCTGTATACTATGTCAACCTCAATAACAAAGAGTTCTAGTTCACGAACAACATTCCTAGCAGGTGGGATAAAACAAGATATAAGGAGATTGGCGAAGAACTGGTGCAATATGTCATGACTTTTTGTGGATGGGAAGTCAAGCATGTACACAAGCTCAATGAGTTCACCTGTAATGAGGACCTTGGATTCAGGCAAGCCCCACAAGAAGAGACTTTCTGTGGTGTGTTTGATCTCAACTTTATCGAGTTTTGGGACGTTCTTTGGAGCATGGTTTGGAGACCGAATGAGCTGATGCTACATACATCAACAACATGAGAGCTTATAGTCGCAAGCTCCTTTTACTCAATCCTAAAAATCTAAAACGTCAGTATTTGATCAATATAGTTATTGCAAATCATGTGCATCAACTCCTTCAGTTAGGAACTCGATACCCAACACAATTGGAATAGATTCATTTTTTTAATGGTTCAGGAGCAATTTAGTCGACTTTGACTCATTCTTGGATACAATGTTACGGATGCATTTTCCTTTGTCATTAATGTAATCTTGGAACAGATTTACTATCCATTAGTTTGAAAGATTATTTTTTCTTATTTTGGCATTCGAACTAATTCACTTCTTTTCCATTTTATTTGTATCCATATGTCAATGTTTTTTTACCAATATTATTAATGTAATCTTTATCAGTAATGTTGTATAGATTCTTCCATTTTAGTAATAGTGTTTAAATCCATGCATATGTTTCTACGTTAATTATTAATGTTTTAATCGTAATATTAGAATTTTTGCCCATCTAATTAATGTTTGCATCAACCTCGTTGATGAGACAGCGACATCAATTATTAAATATAATCTTGTTATTATCAACATATTTGGCTCTAGAAGTTCGCTGACGTCGCCTATTTAAGGTAATCGGTCTCAATATTTTTCCATTATTATCAAGGTTTTCCATTATTTTTTTTCCCTATATTAAGGTAACAGGAAGAGAGGAGGGCTATTTCGATTTCAATTTATCATAGGAAAATGCCATTGCAGAAGAAACTCTTTGGGTGCTATGTGTTCCGAAGCATCAACAAAGTTGTCGGAGGGAGCTTTTGAGAACTCTTGTCCCTCCTTGGAATCCATCGTGGTGCCAGCAGTGGTTTCACCGACACTGTCATATTGCCTATTGTAAATGGAGGTAATTGAAATGAGAAGGAGGAGGAGGAGACACTTTAGTCATGCCTACAAAGATTGGTCGGACGACGAGGAATGGCAGCGAAGGAGGCGGTGTTGGTGGTGGGTTTAGATAGCTGAGGTTTGTTTGTTTGTTTCTATATATACGCATGAGGGAGAATGAGGTGCCACATGCATATTAGTAATTCTTATTATTAATCATGTTATAAATTCTATTATTAACTGTATTATTATTATTAATGTTAAATTTTTTCGTTATTAATTTTTTTGTTGTTTAGTAAAGCTCAATGAGGTGGCACATCCATATTAATAATTCTTATTATTGATCTTATTAGTAATTCTATTATTAATCTTATTTTACATTGTATTGCAGTGCTTTTTTCCTTTATGTATTGGGACATATTTTGTTGTACATTGTGCTACATCAACGACGAAGAGTTCTAGTTCATGAAAAACATTCCTACCGGATGTGATAAAACAAGTCTAAGGAGATTGGATAAGAACTGGTGCAATATGTCGTGGCTTTGTGTGGAAGGGAAGTCAAACATGCATACAAGCTCGACGAGTTCACATGAAATGAGGACCTTGGATTCAAGCAAGCCTCACAAGATGAGACTTCCTCTGGTGTGTTTCATCTCAAATTTATCGAGTTTTGGAACGATTATATAGAGTATGATGGGGAGGCTGAATAACTTGATGTTACATACATCAGCAACATGACAGCTTATAGTTGCAACTTGCAAGCTCCTTTTGCTCGACTCTACAAATCTAAAATGTCAATATTTGATCGATACGGTTACTGCAAACCATGCACATCATCTCCTTCACTTGAGAACTCGGTACCCAACACAGTTGGAAATTCTGTAATGCTTTCTATACCCACTTCAAAACTATTCTGAAAAGCAAATCAAAAGTTTATTTTGTCTCATCATGCAGTAGAGCAACACCAAACACAAAGAGTTCTGTGGTGATTGAATCCAAGAAGAGAACTGCAAACATTGGGCAACTTGTTATTGTCAGTAAAATCTCAAAAGTTATTAACATTTCCTTCTTTTGGTAGGATATACCTAAATTAAATAATTAGACAAATATGCTTTTCAAATTTTCATAGCAGCTTAGTAATGAACATAGCCCGATTTCCAATTTTTAAATCATAAGCTAATGATACATTGTTTAATACATGGCGGATATGGGTATTGAAGCACCCGCCACCCCATTGCCGTCACTACCTTACTTAGACCGCCATCCACCCAATACCTGCTTCATTCTTGATAGTAAAATTGCAAGACATGCTTGACCCTCTCCACCCATGTAGTGATGACAAGGGGATGGAGTGGGCACCTCAACATCCATATCCGTCCCACACAAGCACAATCGGAACGGGTCGACTCAATTTTACATGTTAATTGAAAAAAATACATGTAATTTTTTATTTTCAAGATAAAATGAAGAAAAAACACTTTATAAATGAAAAATAGTGACAATTGAATCTAGCTAGTTGAAGAAAAGTCAAAATAAAAAAAAATATGAATAGATATTATAAAAAATTACAATATAATAAGACAAGAACGATGCGAAACGGGGTGAAAAAAGACGGATCAGAAGTAAACACACAAACTCATCGATCAAGTAATACTTACCCTATTGCACGTCAGATCAGATAATATTTAGTGAAATGGGTTCAAATTGCCATCCTCCCCACGGCGTTAAAAATGATGTTGAAAAAGAAAAACTCTAGTTTTGGAGGAAAAGCTTTTGAGTTTTGATCCGAAAATTTCTGGGAAATCGGCGCCAAATATTTCGCAGGCAAATAAACCCGCATTCTCGAAATCTAAAATATTCACTCTTCCCGCTCACTTTCCCACCATTTCCATTTTGCAGTCTTAGTTTCCCGCTTTTTTTGCAGGTAATTAACCCAAGCGACGCGATTCTTCCATTCATCTTTCGCTGTTCTTGCGCAGTTTATTACAGCTCTCCCGCTCTTCCTTCAGCGACGCTTTAAAGGCTGCCGTCTTGAGAGGAGAGGGTTTTTGGAGGCGCAGTTTATCTTTTTTTCCCTACCAGCCAAGTTGAGTTCTGGACAAACGCAAAATCAGCTGATTTTAGGGTTTTTGGCTCAATGGGCTCGGCATCACTGTTGAACTCGGGAATCCCTGATCCGGAAGCTAATGGTACATCGTCGTCCGCATCTGGTAAAATCAACCCGATCTGTATATTTCCCTTCTCTTTGCTTCATAGTTGAGGGTTTTACTGTAGCATGCAAATCTCTGGGTATCGTCTCACATATTGATGGAGTTGATCGTTTTAGGTTTTGGGTTTGTTAGGGTTTGCTTTCAGCCTTTATGTTTCTGATACCTTGATAAAATAGAGACAATATGTTCCTGCATTCTTCATTCACTCTTGTGGTAATAGCGTTCGTCCTTGTCTCTGACATGCATGTCATTGAAGCTTCAATTTGGCTTGTTTTAGTGTTGGATAAGTGTACTTTGCACGTTGACTGATGATTAAATTGGGATCCTCTCTTGTTCCTTTGCCAAAGCTTGTTGAGAGTTTGAACTATGCATTGGATGATTTGAAATTGAGGGGTACTGATAGATTCCTGTGGCTAATGAGGTCATGGCCTCATGGGTAGTTGTAATTTGTTCTTCATTGCAATTATTTCTGTGTCAAGTGTTTGCATTAGATCGATGACGCAACTTTAATGCACTACGAGCTGTGCAATCAAGGAAATTTTAGATTCATGTAGTATTCCTTCTTTGTTGGGTAATCCAGATGTTTAATGCAATCAACATGCATTCTCCATGTTAACTTTTATGCTAAATTTGAACCTGCATGTTGCGCTGAGCGTTACGTATAACGCTTTAGGGTTTTTGGCTTCAATTTCCACATATAGTTGTCTGTCAAAAACTCAGATTTTAACCTAGTTTTCTCTTGGGAACTTTGAATTATTAACAGGAAGGAAAAAGAATAAAGGCAATTCAATGCCTTCAGATTCGAAAGCTAAAAAGGTTGCAACAAAAGGCAAGAAGCGAGGGACTTGTCAGAAAAATGAAACTCGTGCTTCCCCTCCAAAACGACCTAGGCGGGCTGCTGCACATGTGGATTTTAGGGAAAAACCTGTAGAAGTGATTGATGAGTCCTCACTTATAGAATCAAAGAAAGAGCAAGTTGTTGATGAACTCCTTGCTGTTCGCCTGACTGAAGGACAAGAAAATGGTCGTCCAAACAGGCGATTGACTGATTTCATAGTGCACGATGAAGATTTTGCTCCACAGTACCTGGAGATGATTGAAGTGAGTGATATGTTTCTTTCTGGTGTTATATTACCCCTTGATGATTGTATTGGTGAGGGTAAAGCGAAGCGTGTGCGTTGTGAAGGTTCTGAAAGGATAGAAGAGTGGGACATTTCTGGCTACGAAGATGGCTCCCCAGTTATATGGCTTTCAACAAATATTGCTGATTATCATTGCCTTAAACCGGCAAGTAGCTACCGGAAGTTTTATGATCTCTTTTTTGAGAAAGCCCGTGCTTGTATTGAAGTGTACAAGAAGTTGTCGAAATCAGCTGGTGGAAACCCTGACCTCACGTTAGATGAGTTGGTTGCTGGGCTTGTTCGATCTTTCAGCAGTAGCAAGTGCTTTTCTGGAGTATCATCCATTAAAGACTTTGTTATCTCGCAAGGCGAGTTCATATACAACCAGCTTAAAGGGTTAGACGAGACGTCCAAAAATAATGAACTTAGATTCTCGGAGATGCCTGTTCTTTTGGCTTTAAGAGATAAGAGCCAAAAACATGATAATCTTATACTGGAAGGAGCAGTTGGTTTCAAGGGGAATCTGGTCATTGAACCAACAGTTGATGTCAAGAAGACTAAGTTGGATCCCTTGAGTGGATCTGCTGGCACAGTTGATGAAGATGAGGATGCTAAACTAGCCCGTTTGCTGCAACAAGAGGAGTTCTGGGGTTCCATGAAACAGAAGAAAAGAAAAGGTTCATCCTCCATGGCTAATGCCATCTACATCAAGGTCCATGAGAGAGACATAGCAGATGATTATCCTCTCCCTGCATACTACAAGCAAACAGTTGAAGAAACTGATGAATATATAGCCATTGACAGTGATGATGTGATTAATCCTGATGATCTCCCAAGGAAACTGTTGCATAATTGGTCACTTTATGATTCAGACCTAAGAATGATGTCCTTGGAGCTTCTCCCAATGAGACCCTGTGAAGATATTGACATCACTATTTTTGGGTCTGGTATGATGACAGAAGACGACGGGGGAGGATTCTGTATTGAAGATGATCTCAATCAGTCTTCTTCAGGTTCTGAGGTTGAAATGGGGTTGCCAATTTTTTTGAGTGCTATAAAGGAATGGATGATTGAGTTCGGATCCTCAATGGTTTTTGTGTCAATTCGAACAGACATGGCATGGTTAGTATCTATCCTATTGATCTAATAGTGGGGTTTTTACCTTTTTGTTCTGATTACTTTTCAGGTGCACTTTGTGATAAACTTATTTATATTTGGGCATCTTTATTACCTTGTAGTGCTACATTTTTGCTTAGTGTTTCGTCTATTCCATGACTCAGGTACAGACTTGGGAAGCCATCAACACAATATGCACCATGGTTTAAGACAGTACTTAAGACTGCAAAACTTGGCATAAGCATCATCTCACTGCTGAAGGAGCAAAGCCGAGTATCCAAACTTTCTTATGCAGAAGCTCTGAAGAAAGTTTCAGAGTTCAAGAAAGATCATGTTTCTTACATTTCCTCTGAAGTGGCAGCTGTTGAGAGATTTACTGTTGTGCATGGACAGATACTTCTTCAGCTCTTCGATGAATTCCCTGATGTGAACATCAAAAGAAGTGCATTTGCTACTGGGCTTACAAATAAAATGGAGCAGCGTAAGCATATAAAATGGGTTGGAAACAAGAAGCTGATTTTGCAGAAGAGTCAAACTAATCTGAACCCTCAAGCTAATATGGGTCCTGTGGTGTCTAAGAGGAAGGCTATGCAGGCGACGGCAACGAGATTAATTAACAGAATTTGGGGAGAATACTATTCCAACTACTCACCGGAGGATTTGCAAGAAGAAACAACTGAGAAGGTCAAAGGTGAACATGAAGATGAGGAGCAAGAGGATAATGAGGAGGATGCTGAAGAGGAGCCATTAATAGTTTCAGAGGAAGTGCAGAAGCCATCCCCTATATCGATGAAAGTTAGATCGCATGATAGGAAGTTAGAAGTAAGATGGGAAGGAAATTCAGTCGACAAAACTCTTCTTGGTGAACCTATTTACAGTAGAGCCATTGTCCATGGGGAGGTCATTGCACCTGGGGGTTCTGTCATGGTTGATGAATCTGATGACTTTCCTGCAATCTACTTTGTTGAGTACATGTTTGAAACTTCTGATGGCACCAAAATGTTCCACGGAAGAATGATGCAACATGGTGCTGAGACCGTTCTTGGAAATGCATCCAATGAAAGAGAGGTCTTCTTGACAAACAGTTGCACAAATTATTCATTGCAGGATATTAAGCAGCCTGTTGTTGTGGAAATCCGTAAAATGCCATGGGGTCATAATTTTCGGAAACAGAATATAAATGCTGATAGACTGGATAGAGAAAGAGCTGAAGAAAGGAAAAAGAAAGGTTTGCCATTGGAATATTACTGTAGAAGTTTGTACTGGCCAGAGAAGGGTGCGTTCTTCTGTCTTCCATCCGCTGAAATGGGTCTTGGTTCTGGTGATTGTAACTCATGTAAAATTCGAGAGGCCGAGGAGGCAAATGACAAGTTCAAAGTCAATTCTTCAGGCACCGGATTTGTGCTTGGAGGAATCCAGTACTCTCTTCATGATTTTGTTTATGTTCAGTCAGAGAACTTTGTGCGAAGGAAGGAAGCTGGAACTTTCAAGGGTGGAAGGAATGTAGGGCTGGAAGCTTATGTGGTGTGCGAATTGGTAGAGATCAATGTGGAAAAGGAAACACGACAGACTAGTGAAAGGTCTACCCAGATTAAAGTTCGAAGATTTTTCAGACCAGAGGACATTTCATCTGAGAAAGCTTACTGTTCTGACATCCGTGAGGTAACTGTTAATCCTGAAGGAGATAAATACTGATAATGACTTGTTAGATTGGTATCATATTTTTTACTTGTTATGACTCCGTACATCTCCAACTCTCATTGACACTTTGCTGATGATTGAACTGCTCAACTTGTTTGAATTTTCAGATATATTACAGTGAAGAAACACACATTTTACCTGTCGAGGTGATAGAAGGAAAATGTGAAGTAAAAAAGAAAACTGACCTTCCAGCTTGCAGCGGTACCACAGTTTTGGATCACATCTTCTTTTGTGAGCGTCTATATGATCCTTCTAATGGTTCGCTTCGGCAGGTAATTCATGATACTACTTCTTTTGTCTTGTAATGATGGACATTTTCTAGTAAGCTAAAACCTGTCTTGTGGATTTTGCAGTTGCCAGCTAATATCAAATTGAGTTATTCCAGAATGGGTGACAATAGTGATGTTGCTTCTAGGAAGAGAAAGGGTAAGGGTAAGGAGGGAGACAATGATGTGGAAGTGGAGAAACCAAGAGAAGAATCTCAAGGGAACTGTTTGGCCACACTTGATATTTTTGCTGGGTGTGGTGGCTTGTCTGAAGGGTTGCGACAAGCTGGTGAGTACCTTTGTTTCCTAATATTTTGCGTTGAATAGTGTAAGGATCGTTACCTTTGTAAATATTGATTGTATGTGCTCTCATTCTGATGATTACTTGCAGGTGTGTCTATGACGAAGTGGGCCATTGAGTATGAAGAGCCAGCAGGGGAAGCATTCAGACTTAATCATCCTGAATCATTGGTGTTTGTCAACAATTGTAATGTCATTCTCAAGTAAGTGACAGATGAGGAATCTAGGGTATGAAATCTTTAGATATTTTTTGTCATCCTATGTCTTTTTAACCTGTTAATATGTTGAAATGCAGAGCGGTGATGGAGAAATGTGGTGATGCAGACGACTGCATTTCAACTGCAGAGGCTGCTGAATTGGCTGCAGCTCTCGGTGAAAATGTCATTAATGACTTACCACTTCCAGGACAGGTGGAATTTATCAATGGCGGACCTCCATGTCAGGTATACAACTCTCCCTTTGTTGTTTCTGTAAAAAATGATGAGTTTATATACTCTTGTTGGTTTTCATAATAGACATTTCTTTGCAGGGATTCTCTGGGATGAACAGGTTTAATCACAGTACTTGGAGTAAAGTTCAATGTGAGATGATCTTAGCGTTTCTATCCTTTGCTGATTACTTCAGACCAAAGTATTTCCTCCTCGAGAATGTGCGGAACTTTGTCTCTTTCAATAAAGGACAAACATTTCGTCTAACTCTGGCTTCCCTCCTTGAGATGGGTTATCAGGTGTGTGGTGCAAAGCTTGACTTGAGCTGTTTGTAGACATATGAACCATTCCTGCTTCCTTTTCGTTTCAAACTGTTTTTTTTTTGCATTTAGGTGAGATTTGGAATTTTGGAAGCCGGAACGTTTGGCGTTTCGCAGTCACGGAAAAGAGCTTTTATATGGGCTGCCTCACCTGAGGAGGTTCTCCCAGAATGGCCAGAACCTATGTATGTCTTTGGTGGGCCCGAGTTGAAAGTCTCTCTGTCTCGGAATTCATACTATGCTGCTGCTAGAAGCACTGCTGGTGGAGCTCCGTTTAGGGCTGTAACTGTAAGAGATACCATAGGTGAACTCCCGGCTGTGGCCAACGGTGCCTCTAAGGCAACACTGGAGGTATCAATGCTATATAGTTGAATTGCTACATTTTACTGTTATTCTCAAGCAATCATCTAGTCTAATTGGCGTTCTTTCTATTCATTCATGCAGTATGCAAATGATCCAGAATCGTGGTACCAAAAGCAAATTCGAGGTAACATGGCTGCCTTGACAGACCATATATCTAAAGAGATGAATGAGCTGAATCTCATTAGATGCAAGAGGATCCCTAAGCGCCCTGGTGCTGACTGGCGTGACCTACCTGAAGAGACGGTACTCTAGTCTGCGACCATTTCCATTTGATTGTTTTTTACAGTTGGTGAAAATTATACAGTCTGATTTAGTTGGGTTGAAATGAAAATGGCAGGTGGCTTTATCAAATGGTCAGAAGGCTGATCTCATCCCATGGTGCTTGCCAAATACTGCTGCTCGGCACAACCAGTGGAAAGGACTGTTTGGGAGGCTGGATTGGGAAGGGAATTTCCCAACCTCAATTACAGATCCTCAACCCATGGGGAAGGTGGGGCTGTGCTTTCATCCTGATCAAGACAGGATCGTTACGGTGCGTGAATGTGCTCGATCTCAAGGTTTTCCAGACAGCTATCAGTTCTGTGGCAACATTATTAGCAAGCACCGTCAGATTGGAAATGCAGTGCCCCCTCCATTGGCGTATGCGTTGGGAAGGAAGTTGAAGGAAGCACTTAACAGTAAGAGGGCCAGATAGATAGTGTTGCGTTGAACTTATAACTTTATTTTCTGCTGAACTTTATTTTGTGGAACTGAGATCGGTGCAAGAACTGATTCTGTTACAGTCCAAGACAGCGTTTCAATGGTGATGAGTGTAGTTACTAAGGCTTGTTCAAGAAATTTGGCAATAGAAAAGATTGCTTACTTTTCATATTGTTTTTGTTTTCAACTCTCAAAACAGAAAATGGTAGTTTTATGATATTTCTGGTATTAATAAAATGTTGTTTCCACCAACTTTTAACATATGTTTGCTCAAAATTTTAGCGAAAAAACTTTTATTCTAATTGATGAGATGAACTATTCTATTGACGTCAATGATAATTATTTTTTAATTTTTTTACTTCAATCTTTTAAACTTTATCTTTCATCTAACTTTTATCCTTTTAATTATATAGAAAGGTCTTTTATAGATTGTTTCTCTAATAAAATATTTTCCCCCCTTTTATTATTCAATACTTTTTATTTTATCATTTTTATCCGGTAAATCATCAATTCTCCAATCAATCCATACTATATAGATAGTATAGGTACAAACTACCAAATACCCTTGTCATCGCGAGGAATTCTCGCACTAATTGGGTATAAGTCGACTATCGAGTGTGGCGAAATACCAATCATTCCCAAAAGAAAGTTGGTCGGGGAATAAATGGTGATGAGTGTTGCGCTTTATGCTGGTTTCATTATTAATATTCAATATTGTTGTTTCCACTAATTTCAACATATGTTATGTCAAAATTTCAACGGAAACATTTTTTTATTGATGAGTTGAAATATTCGAATGCACGTTAACCAATTATTTTTAATACTTTTACTTAAGTAATTTAAATTTATCTTTTATCTAGTTCTATCTTTTTTGTTAGATATAATTCCCTCTTATACATTATTTGAAACCAAATGCATCGAGAATTCCGAACAAAAAACTTTTCATTTCAAAATAATTCCCTTAAAAGCTTATAGAATTCCAAACGATATGTTATATTTGATTTCAAAAAAGTCACCACAAATTTAAACATCTATTTAATTGTTTGTCTACTAAAATAAAAATCCAAATGATTTTTTTCTCCTTTTATTATATTTTACTTTTATTTATCATTTTTATTATGTAGATCATTAAAATTTTATTACTTTAATTTCAAACAATCTACCATCATTTAGGTTTATGTTTCAAAATTAACAAAAAATTCCAACTAAATAGGTTTCACGTTTTATTTCTCAGTAAACGACAACTTCATTTGCTTCAAGATTGGTTTTATGTTTTCAAGACAAGAAAATATAGTATTACATTCATATATAGTCACATTCATATACAGTCCGAACATGTGAGCAATATTATTATATTGTGGATGTATGTATGAGTAATCTCAAGTCTGAATATTTTTCCGATATTCACATTCATATAAAATATAATATAATATTACATCAAATAACAAATGTTCATACTTCAACACAACAAATAAATCAACATCAAAATATTTCCACTTAAAATCAACATATGATAAAAATATCTAACATACTTAAATTCAACATATATAACGTTAACGTTCAAATATTCATACCTAGAATTCAAATATTCATAGTTCAAAGATAATGCATTTCCATCTATATTACACCTAGGATATGAGAATGTTGAAATATTTTATCGATAACATCACATTCAAATTAATTTTCTTAAGTTAAAGTGTAGCGCTTCTTATTTGCTCTCTCGCAGGCCTATGAGGAAACAGGGGCTCTCTGGCGGGCCTAGTCTCCTTGGTAGGCCTGTTTCGTTCCGCACTCCTCGTGCGTTCTTGTAACTTGAACTCGTTCGTTTTGTTTTTCGCTTTATATCAATCACCCTTATAAAAAAAAATTATTTTTCTTAAACTTCATGCAATAGTGTAACCAACCAATATTCCATTGTGATTCAAGAATAAGCTAAAAAATAAAAGATTGCTAAAATAACGTAAATCAATATGTAGTTTGGTGGTAAAGTTGTTGATTTGTGATTTTGAAACCCATGGTTCAGTTCTCATGAGTTTACATGGCCAAATAATAATGACTATCTCATTATCCATCTTTAACAAGTTTCTCTCAATATTCATTCTTGAGATGTTTGAGGCATTTTCACTTCACGAGGTTAGATTTTACGCTAGGGTATGCTTGTTTTTAGAGAAATCACAGTTGATCGACAGTGATAATTCGCTCCAGACCGTGAACCCCTTTAATGAAACGATTCTTTTTTTTTCGAGATCGCGCTCGATCTGGGTATAAAAGGAGAAGTGAGCTGAAAGAGAAGGGGAGGAGCCTAGTGAGAGAATTGCATCTTCTTCCTCAGATTTCTAGAGAGAGTGACGAACAAGAGAGGATAAGAAAGCTAGGGTTTCGTCCAAGCTTCAAGATTTTGGAATCTCATCTACCAAGGTTGATCTCTACACCAATGGAAGAAGTCAAGCATCTCAAGATGGTCTTTTCTCTTCTCCTTTATGTATTCCCTAGTTTTAGCATGGAGTAGTCCCCTTCTTTCACTTGGGTGTTGCAAATCCTAGCTAGAACTATGTGATAGGTTGTATGACTTGAATGTTTTGTGTGTGGTTTGTGTTTTAATACAAGTATTGAAGTATTTTTAGGGGTGGTAAACGGTCGGTAACAGGTTAAACCGGTTGCCGACTGACCGATTTTTGGTATACTGGGAAAGATGACAACCCTATCGTTTGCCGATACCTGAAATGCTTCGGTACACCGATTACCGAATTGTTGCGATTGCGGTTATGCTCCGGACAATCGTTTATCAAATGTGATGAATTACGGTGGGGACTGAATTAGTTCAACTGACGAAGAATGGTGGGGACTGGCCCACTGCCCACGTTGCTACTTTGCTTTCCCATCATCATGTCATGCACAACACTACAGGTGGAGCTCTAATCTTCTTCACAAATCACACGTCCTCTAGACCTCTATTATGGACTCATCCCCTTTAAAAACAAAACATAGACAATTAAAAATAAAAACAAAAGCCATCCAGCAATAGCTGATGTTAGAAGTCAGAACCGTAGCAACCAAACATCCTCTTTCATCTACCGCCGTATCCACCCAGTACCCTCCTCCCCAAAACCCTTTCGCTCCATCCTCGACCTAGAGCCACCACGTCTTCCGCAGCTGCAGCGACAACAATGATTTGGACTCCATGGATTTGGCCTTCAAGGTTGCATGCAACCAGATCAGACTTCTGCCTTTCCAATTCCTCTTTGAGGTTTCAAAATCGCCTATATGCGAACTCGCCTTTTGTGGCTTTATCCTCTATTGAGATTCAATACAACAAGGGGGTTGAAGAAGCGGCGGCAGCCTCGCCTACTCGGTGAGAACCTCCCCCTGCGTTTCCATCTATGCGCATCCAGATCTGCCCATTGACAGCTCTCTTTGTCGGCTATTTTCCGCATGGTTTTCAGTCGGCCTTGTGCTGGCCGGCGCCTGAGCTTCTTAGCTTCTTTGTTCACCGTCTGGCTACCTTTGGTAAAAGTATCACATAAATAGCACAACCAGCACACCTCTCCTTTTCACCTGCTTTAGGCCTCTCCGGTGGTCGCCGCCGGCCCCAAACCCAAACCACAGCTTCGCTTTGCGCCAGCGAGGGCACCACCCGTACATCCCTGCCAGCTGCCCTGGCGCGTGTAAGGTGTTTGCCTTCATTCTTATCCGAAGCAGGTAAGCGGTAAGTTTGTGGATGGCTCTATCTGACCGCTGCTTTTGTGGGCCACAGCTTATGGGTTAATGTTTTGCTTGGTTGGGCTGACTTGTTTTATTCTTCGTTCTAAATTAAATGAACTCATAATTTAGGCTTGCTCGTTAGTCAGGATACTAGCTCCATTTTAATAGGTGAATTTTTGGATTGCTGATTATGTTTCCTCCCATGTCATAGAGTCTGAGTTCTTTTATAACTGCTTTATGTTTTCTAGATGGGCTATTAGCTAGATTTATTTATAGGATTTGTTGCCCCAATTATTTTTTTTGCAATTTCGTTGGTCCTATTGGTTCTGGGCTTCACTACTTTGGCGCTTTTGAAGTATGGTTGCTTCGGTTAGTGTTGTGTTAGCTACTGTCTATTTGGTTGAGCCTCGTTCGTGGCTAGGTGTGTTTTGTTTTACAGGTAGAAGTTGCTCCTACTTCTTTTGGCACACAGTGACAGTCTCTTCAATGGGAGCGGGATGGAGTCGAGACTTCTGGAAAGAAGCTAGCCGTTCTTATTTTGCAGGTGATTATCTTCATGTGGGCTGGGCACGGCTTTCCCTATTGGAGAACATTTGTTTGATAATTTTGCAGGTGATTCTTCCTTCGAGAACCATCAACTCATTGCTTCTCTACTTCGATTTGCAGCATGGTTAGTCCCATGATTTACACTTTTACAGGGTAGAAGTCATGGATATTAGCCATGCCGTATAGGTATAAAGAGCTGCCCGTTGCATGGCGAAAAATGCTCTCTTATCGATGGTTCGACTATTTGTCGACCGTCGTCCCTTTCTCTTATATGTTTTTTTACGGTTGCCTGAAAAAGCTTCCAAGTCGTACCTAGTTGTTCCCTTTCAGGAATATCTTTGACAAAAAAAAAAAAACAATAGATGATGTCTATTGTGGCGGGGGAAGGCGGGAAGCTGGCCGCCTGGACTGGCATCAATCATCATCATACAACAACTGAACAAGGCAACAAGAAAAACCTGAAGGCTGAAACTGACGATCTTATGGTGGCTATTGGGTCGGAGAAGTAGGCAGGAAGTTGCATCGGTAATTAGGTCGAGCGCACTAGGGTCGACGCCGGACGGAGAGGACGCGTCACTGTGGTCAACAAAGACTCGGAGAGGTTGCGCTGCCAAACTGCTACATCGTTATCGTCGGTCTGAGTGCGCCAGCGTCGGAGAGGGATTGCCGATTGGGGTTCCAATTGGACGGCCGATGGCGGGACTCATGACTCGTGAGGGCTGGGTTAGCTTAGGTAGGCAGAGAGCGAGAGGGGTGAGACCAGGATGTTGATTTAGTTATTAATTAGTCTATAATTCCTTTTCCTAATAGACTAGAGATAGAGAACCAACATTTAGGAGAATTATACTAACGTCGCCGCCATTCAAATCCGGTATCGGAAAACCGGGTTTTCGTCGATTACCAAGCAATCGGGTTCTGATATTACCGCCATCCCAGTCTTCGCATTCGACAACCATTACCATCTGGTTAACGGTTTAACCGGTACCGTTATCCGTAAAACC